AATATGTCTGCACTAATAACTCCGCAGAAAGAAGAGTGCCAAGTTTTACAGCAGACTGCCCTGGTTTCAGATTGAACAGGGCTGATTTTCTTCATCTGATTTGATGCTATGTCAACGGTTTATGGACTGGTCCGGCCCAGTTCCGTGACCAGCAGGGCGGAGGGATCTGCGGATCCGCGCCTCTGGGAAAGGGGAAGCAGGAGACCCCAAAATACTTGAAAACAACAGCAATAATCTGAGGTGGAACAAATGATTTTACTAAATATAGTATTAGTAAAATACAATGAGAGAGAGAGAGTCTGAATTGTATAGACCTCACCACAATGCTGGGGTGAGAAGTGCAGTCCAATTGAGTGAACAGACAGCGAAGTGCAGGCGGCGAAGCGCAGACAGCGAAGAAGAGGAATCAGGTGACCTTGCAAGGAGTTATTTCCCCTTGCTGACTGCAAAGCCTCCTGGGGAAATGTAGTTCTTCTCCGTCGGACGAACATTCGGCAGATATCAAACCCCACCCCCAGTGCATTACATGATGTTATGGTGTGGAATACTGATGACCAAAAATCATAAAACCATGACATGCTATGTTTTGGCTTCAGGAGAAAAACAATGCTGACTACCAGGAACTGGGCAGGGACAGAACCAGAACAGCTGCCCTAAGCTGGTCAAAAGGATATTCTAAACCATATGACATCATGACTAGAAAACTGCAGTAAGTAGAGAAGTGGTGCTGATTCTCACGGTCCGGCTTAGGCATTAGTTAGTGGCTGGTGAGTACTTCTGTTGTACATCACATAATTATCATTACTATTATTTTGCATCATTTTCTGTCTTAGCAATTTACCGCAATTTGTAGGTAACTTAACTTACTATATTAGTTTTCATGCTTCAGCAATAACAAATTAATGAATCTATGAAGGAATAATGGAGGAAGGGTCACGTCACTCCCATTAATAAGAAAGGGAGCAAGGAGGATCACGGGAACTATAGGCCGGTAAGTCTCACCTTTGTGCCTGGGAAGATCATGGAACAGATCATCCTGGATGACATGCCTGATCACATGAGGAATGAGTGTGTGATCCGAGACAGCCAGCACGGCTTCACCAGGGGAAGGTCATGCCTGACCAATCTGGTGGCCTTCTACAATGTAGTGACAGCATTGGAGGACAAGGGGAAGGCGACCGATGTCATTTACCTGGACTTGAGCAAGGCCTTTGACATGGACCCCAATCCCTTCCTTATCTCCAAATTGGAGAGATGTGGATTTGATGGGTGGGTCACTTGATGGGTAAGAAATTGGTTGAAAGGCTGCAGACAGAGGGTGGTCATCAATGGCTCTACGTTCAGGTGGAGGACACCCTGAGCAAGTTTGCTGACGACATCAAGCTGAGTGGTGGGGTTGACATGGTAGAAGGAAGGGATGCCATTCAGAGGGATCTCGACAGGTTGGAAAGGTGGGCCCAGGTGAACCTGATAAGGTTCAACATGGCAAAGTACAAAGCTTTGCACTTGGGCCAGAGGAATCCCAGGCATCTGTACAGACTGGAAGGTCCTTGAGAGCAGCCCTGCAGAGAAGAACCTGGGGGTCTTGACAGACGAAAAACTGAACATGAGCCAGCAGTGTGCTCTAGCAGCTCAAAAAGCAAATGGTATCCTGGGCTCCATCAGAAGAGGGGTGGCCAGAAGTGACAGGGAGTTGACTGTCCCCCGCTACTCTGCTCTTGTGAGGCCTCATCTGGAGTACTGCGTCCAGGTCTGGAGCCCCCAGTACAAGAAAGACAGGGAGCTGTTGGAGAGGGTCCAGATGAGGGCCACAAAGATGATCAGGGTGCGGGAGCATCTCCCCTACGAAGACAGGCTGAAGGAGCTGGGCTTGTTCAGCCTGGAGAAAGGAAGGCAGCCTTTCAATACCTGAAGGGCACATACAAACAGGACGGGTATCAACTCTTTGAAAGGGTAGATAACAGCAGGACAAGGCGAAATGGTTTTAAGTTGAGGGAGGGGAGATTTAAGTTGGATGTCAAGAGGAAATTCTTTACAGAGAGAGTGGTGAGATGCTGGAACAGGTTGCCCAGAGATGCTGTGGAAGTCCCGCCCCTGGAGATGTTCAAGGCCAGATTGGATAGGGCCTTAGGCAGTCTGGTCTACTATCGAATGTGGAGGCCAGTGGCCCTGGATGTGGCAGGGAGGTTGGAGATTCACGATCCTTGAGGTCCCTTCCAGCCCTGGTCATTCTGTGATTCTGTGAATCTACTTTATCTATTGCAGGTAGAAAACAAGATCGCTTTTTTTTTTAATTTTGCTTTCCAGCCTCTTAACTTTTCTGTTCTTATTCACCTTATTTCCACAATTTTGTTTGAGTTCTTTAGTTTCAATGGCTAAAGTGTAAAATGTCACAGGAATTTAGTGAAGCCAAAATGTAACTGCTCATTCAACACCAAGAATTTAACAAAATGTCAGTATTCTCAAATAAGGTTGTCTTAGTTGTTTATCACTCTTTTTTCTTATTACTTGTTATTATGTCACTTATTACTCCTGTCACTCTAGATTCATATGTAAGCAGAAACAAATGTTCCACCCAGTTTTCAAGATTCGCAGGAAAGACAGTATTTCCAAACATAAAACACATCCACATCACTGGAATACTTCATTGATTTTTAGCGTTGTTGCACCTCTTTCCCAGATACTATTACATGAAAAAAATGTATTTAAAGGCAACACATCTCATTACAAACAGACTGCAATAAAAAGCAGGAAGACAAAGTTGGGATAAACGACCTGCACAGCACAAAGGATATTATACTGTTGTCCAAAAGAGGCCTATCTATGAAATGAAAATATACTTTTGTGACCACTCCTACTGACAAATCAGACAATTTGATTATATATGCTTAAAATCAAATAAATATTATTAAAGCATCACTCATATGCTATAAAATACAATTTTGATATGCTAAGAAAATTATTTAAGAATGTGGTAATTCAAAGTGAACAATAATGGCTACACAACCATTTTAGACATATTAGAATAACGACACTAGAAAGCAAAATCAGTAAGAAATTTCAGCTGACAAAATTTTTTTTAAGAACTATCAGGTAACAGTTAACATTGCAGGGTTCAATAATATAATTTTTATTTTATTATATAATAATACAATAATTAATAATATAGTATTTCTCTAAGATAGTGATGTAATATTAAAGTGTAATTGTTTTAATTTCCATGTAATAACATTTTAATCTTTAAGTGTAATTTAAAAAAATATTTGAAATCAGTACTCTTTAAAGGACAAAACTATTAGCTGCTCAGATATGTTCCGCCTTAAACTGACGAGAAACAAGTGAAAAATTATGATGGCTGAAACAAAAACATTGATGTTTCTCTCAGAGTAATGTTTTTCAGAGAACATCTTCTGAAATTAACATAATGAAGAAAGAAAAATATTAGCAGTCGCTTTCTAGGTAGATAGTTTTTCAAAGATTTCTATGAGTCCGTAATGGCTATTTCTCAAAGCAGAGAACAACGAATTCCAAGATTCACATTTAAGAAAAGGCAGTGATTTAGGAATATTTCTAGAGTAATGCCTCTATGTCAAAGTAAGAAAAGCAAATGAAATCAAGAGGTAGACTTTTCCATAATTACTTATGTTTTTTTCTTGCCTAATTTGGTCTCCAAGAGAATTGCTGTTATTGTTGCTTCCAAAATGCCTTATACTGATCGACAAGTTAATCAAAATACATTAATTTACAATACTTGTAAGTCATACAAACTTTAGGTGACAGAACGTAAGTTACACAAACAACACAACTGAACTTGCACAAAATAGTTTTGGAGATAAATGGGTCAACAGACACTTGCAAAAAGCAGTGCCTTAAAAGTATTAGTTTATTTATATTGATTTTTATTTATGTTGACAGCCACTGTCATTAAGTAAGCATCTTTCCAGAGTATTCCTGAGTATTTTTGATCTGCTTTTCTGTTATTCTAATGCAAATGTGCTAGAACTGAAGAGGCTTCTCTTTCATTGGCCAGTCTGTCTGATCTTCCCAGTGTAAAAATCCCTGCTAATGGCTCAACTAACTACAGTACATCAGCAACACAGGAAGAAACTCTTCTAGCCACTGCAGATGTTCAACACTCCAAATGACAAAGTCTGTCATTTCTATAGTGATTGTCAGAATGTTTGCAAAGACTGAACTGCGTATCCATCAATTACTCATTCTATGTCGGTGGTTTAACTTGTGAATCATCCCAGAACACAGAAATATTTATCATAAGGCAAACAACAGCGAAGTGTCCAAATAATTAGAGTAGATTAAAAACATAATAAGAACAAAACCATACAAACTATACCTGAATATATTCCAGACTTTATGTATTCCACATGTAATTAAACCAAATATGTGACCAATGAAAAGCACAAAATACGTATTTTGCTGCAAGAGAGTACTCCCACTGAACTCCAGTTTTATGTTTCAGACATTAAGGACAGACTATAATGACCACTAACTTAACACATTATAGCAACCATGTTTCCAGCCTAAAAAAAGAAAAAGCTTCAATCTGACTTATGTTTGATTTTCTATGCCACTGAGATTCCCAGATGTGGTGTGGAAAGTGAAATTTTTGTTTACTCGGTCCAGTTAAAACTCAAGATCACATCAAGATCAAAACTCACATCACATCAAGATGGTACAGAATCTGATTACAAATACTCAGTCTTTACTCCTACCATTACTCTCACAAAAATCACACAGAGGATGCTATGCTGCACAATTCCCTGCTCTTTCAGAGCTGACTAATGTGAAAAACAAAACAAAACAAAAAAACCCACAAAGGTAATTGATTGGACCATTATTTGAGCCGCCTCCTCCTTCTCCAAGCCCAGTGACATTGAGCATTCATGGTGGTCATTAACAGACAAACAAGTTTGTTAGACTTTTTATGATGAAAAATGAGGATACAAATAGAATAAAAACATTTCCCAAACATTTATCTTTACCTTGGCACTACAGACTGCTATATTAGCAGGGAGCTGGGAAAACTGCTTCAACTCAAATACGTCTCGCATTGCCCACCGGCTCAAGTGATTCTCAGCCTTGCTTGATCCAACCACATTCTGATTTGAGTGCATATACGCTACTTCTTGAATCCCATCTAATACATCAGAAGAAAAAGATCATCAAAGATTTTGGTTATTCCAAAACTCTCAAGATACACAGTTACACTCAAGAAAGATACTGCAATTAATTAATTATTAATAATTAAGTTTTATTTGAAACTTGTAACTTCTGTTACAATTTCATTCAACACTAGGTTTCTCAGCTCTCTTAATAACAATCATCAGCTTTATCCAGATAGTTTAATGCTGCAGCTATTTCATTACGGGGCTTCTCTAGATAAAGAACAAATTTCAAAGCATCTATTGTTCAAATAGTTTTTGTTTACTTGTGTTTAAAGATAAGTCACTAATCAAATGAAATCTTGCACGTGGTACTTCAAACTCTCAAGTCACATATAATTAAAAACTTAGGAAAACAAAAAATCCAAACCATCCCAGTCCAGACTTTTACAGTTTAAGTATTTAAATTTGTGAATTCTTAATTAAACATCCATCTTAGCATCTTTCAACAGATAAGTAAACATTCAATAAAATATTACAGAGAAGCCCATTTCTTTGGAAAATAGAATAGTTAAGCTAACAGGTAAAAAGAGCAATAGAGACATTACTAAGTAAGTTAGCAGTGCATTTATTAGTGTATTTTAACAAAATCATATATAGAAGGAAGAACTTAATCTGCAGCAGAGACACTACTATTTAAGATAAAAAAAAAACACAAGAAGTTAAATGACTATTTACCTAAATATCTGTCCATTGATTCCACATTTTGATTCTGATGGTCAAACTGAGCTCTGCGCATAGAACTTCTATGCACATCATTATTGCTAGATGTCACCTGTGCAATAGAGCGCATTCCATACTGAACAGGATGGAGCATTTTAGATCTGACCTGAACTTTACATCTCTGGCTTTTACACTTACAGCTCTTTTCTTGGGTATGAATCTTTTCAACCTGTAAGTTATCTTCAGAGGATGAAAATTCATCTACATTCTGAGAATCACTTCCTCTTTCTTTCCTCCAAGGCTTCTCTTTCTGAGGCAGAGATTTTGAGAATCTGCCTAGTGCACTGCTTTGTGTATGCCTTTGTTTCCCTTTCATGAAGCTGAATGTTCTTAACTTTCCTGACTCGGAGTGACAGGGAATTTCAATGTCATCAGACTCATCACTTATGTCACTTGCGCTGTTTTTCATGTTTTTAAAAGACATGATTTTGCTGAAATTTGATTTGGTACTATGGAATCCAAACTGCCTACGTTCTTCCTTAAGTACAAACTCATTTTTTTCTTCTAGTGACTCTTCACAATTTTCAGATTCCGTCGTCTGTATTTCAATTTTTTTAGTATGCATTGCTTGGGGGCTTGCTGGAAATTGGGTAGGAAAGATGACATCACAATTTTCTTCAGAACTGCTTTCAGTTTCCATTACTACATCACTTTGCCTTGAAATGCATAAATCCTTATTTTCTCTGTCCACCTCTTCTTCAGAGTCTGACAAAACAAGACAATCTGCTCTATACATGTCTTGTTTATCAGTTACATTTGGTAACTGAGCAGTTTTCCTGTGCTCCAAAATATGCATATAGCTTTCACATTTCTGAACATCATCACACTTGCTGTTGACACATGTTCTTACAGCCTGACCATCAGAACTTGAATGGTAAGAGTCATTACTACCACTTCTTTTGGTAGCTTCAGTTTCTCTCTGCAACAAGTTAGAGAATCCACACTGCACTAAGGAAAGCTGTCTCTTTGCTATCATTAAATTATTTGCGCTGCAAGGCTTCTTCCTGTTATTTTTTTTCATGGAAATTTCCAGAATATCATCATCACTAAAATAATCATGAAAATTAGTTTCTTCTCTCTCTAACTGCGCCTTAGTGCTTGAATGACCTCTAGCTCCTCCATAATCTGGTTGTTCACACTGAAAAAAGAAGAAAAAGAAAATTACTTACACCAGGTAGATAGCGGAAAGTTTGGAAGATCTAAGTCTTAAGCAGAATAATAATGAAGATAACAATAAAAAAATATGTTTTCCAACAAAGTACGCTCCTGACTGCTAAAACAACTTTTGTTTTTCCAATCCACACCAGTATTTTTTTTTTTCAAAGCTTGCTGCATCCTTTCATCTTTTAAAAGTTTGAAAAGTGACCTCATGATGCACACATTAATACTATGCAAAGATAAACAATGGGCAAGCAGACAATAAAACATGGCAACTGCAGCCTCAGACAAAAGCATTACCAGCCTAGCAATATATTACTGCTACTGTTAAGACTACACAGATTTTCATGCTCTGCTTTGTATCCCACAAAGTATCTCACATTTTCTGAACTGCCATGAGGAGGTTCTTCTTTTAACCAAGTAGTCACTGTCATGACTCCAGCTTCTACTTGTCCTTCCCTCTAAAAGAATTAAAAAAAAATACGCATATAATTGAAACAGTACCTGTTCAAATTAATGAAGGAAGCCTACCAAAAAAAAAAAAAAGTAATTTTTACTACAGAGGTATAAGTATTAAAAGCACAATCACTAAACCTCAGAAAAGGTTTTGCATTTTGACAATTAATTTTCTGCTGTTTTAACCCAACCCATAAATTGCAGGACAACTTACATACTGCATAAATTGCATCTTATGCATACGCTGTTTTTACACTTTTTTTCCACAGCAGAACAGCTGTTACAGCTGAATTCAGTTTTGCTCCATATGCATTTCCATGTCAGACATCATCATTTTGTCAGACTTCCCCTTTGCTGCAATCTGCCACGTGGCAAAAAAATGTAACAAACTATCAGTGGGAAGGTTCAACTTCTACTGTCACAACACCAACATCCATCTCTAATATCATGAGCCAGCAAAGTAACATAGGAGGCATTACTTTCAGAGCAACCTCATAGTATAGGAACTGAACACTACGAGCGGATGGATAGAAAAAAGGCTAGAATAAAATTCCAAGAAGAAACTTTGTTGCAACAAAGATGCAGAATAGAAAGAAGTATATATAACACACACACTTAAATTGAATTTGCACTAGAACTGGGCCAATAGTCTTTAAAAAATAGAGTCTCAGTTGTACATCTCCTTCCTGTACTTTTTTTCTGACAATAAAGCCTTATAAAATATATTTTATTAAGCAGTTTTTGCTTAAATATAACAATACTTTGCAATGGGAATTGTTGCTTAAAAGGTCAGTTTAAGCTACTGATAAATAAAACTTATCCATGCATGAAGTTTTTACTGTTTGTTTCATGCAGAGAAGTTTTTCTGGTGTAAATCAGAGAGAAATTAGGAGGTCTATCTGTATAAGGCACTACACAGACAATTACTGTTTAAGTTTCACCATTCTGTTTTATAAAGTGCTTCCATTTGAAATTATGACAAAATACTTCAAATGGAAAGAAATAACATAAAAGAAATACTGAAAAGCAAAAGTGAAAGATTTCACACCTCCAGGATGTCTTTAGTAAGACAAGACCCATGAGCCCTAAGTTTGAAAAGGTTGTGGATGCCAAAAAGTTCTCCTTGATGTTCCTTTGATCCTTGCACTGCCTCGAAATATCGCTTAGCATTTTCACTTCCAACCACTGCACAGTGAAGTTGCTAAAACAGAGCAAAACAAGAGATTTCAGAAGTGTTTATTCCAATAATACATAAGAATTTCCTGGCATCCATGCCATATATGCATCCTCCGTTGAAGAAGGCAGAAATTCCTAAGAAAGGATATTTTGCTTTCATTTTTTTGGCAGATATTGATACAATAGATGGTGGTCGAGTATGAACATGCTTGGTTTTATAGTGTAAGAATAGTAAAGATACCTTTACAGTCTTTTACCTCACTGTTATATCAGAAATCTACTACAGAATCTACTAACAACTCTCTGTATCTTAACTACTTATCTTTCCTCAATACTAAATACTGATTTGAATAGTTTCTGAACTTTACCTGCTTGTAGACTTGCCGTAGGTACATTATCTCCTCCACAGTTCCCAAGGATATCAGTCTAAATACTTTAACATCTTTGCATTGGCCAATCCTGTAAGCTCTGCAGAAAAAGTGAATTAAAAAAAAAAAAGGATTATTAAAAATGGATTATCAAAAAGAAGTGGATTATTAAAAAACTATTAAAAATATATATTTTTTAATCAGTAAAGAACAAAAGAGAGCTAATGTAGTAAAATAAGAATCACTATTACAAGAAAACAGGAACACTCTAAATCATTTACGATTTAAAAAAAAAAAAGAAGATGCCTTTTTCCTTTTCCTCCACATTTTCCCAGTATTTTATTCTCTTTTCATTCTTCTGTAGTTTTCTGTTTTTCTTCTCAGGTCTATCTAGTTGCAAAGGGTTTCATGTCTTGTATCACAATGCCACAATACTTGTCTATTGAGAAAACCTCTAGTATTTCTTCAGTCTTTTTTTTTTTTTCCCTTCATCTGCATGTGGTTATTACTGCACCAGTTATTACAGCGTTTGCATTATATATACAAGTTATACCATGGATTACTTGCAGCAGTCTGTTCTTTCTCCAAAAACTTTGCAAGTTGCAACATCATAAAAACAACCAACAAACATGCAGCAGAGTATCTAAATAACGAATTCTGAGACTTCTAATAGATTATATTCAAAACCCCATTTTTAAAAATTCATGAGTCTCTTTTAATAGCAATTATTTCTGATATGTGAGTGCACATAAATGTCTCTTGAAGATCAGAAAAACTTGAAAGTAGAATTATATAATTGGATGGGACAGTATAAACAAGTTCATTTCTGCTCATGAAAAAAACATAGATCTACTGAATTTTGAAGGCTGTCAATATTCTTTTATTTCAGCAATTCAAATGTTTGTCCCGAACTCCTAGAGAATATCTTGTAGTCAGAGCCTGAAAAGAAACGCAGATTCCTAGAAATGTTCCAGAATGGCATAATTTCAGAGTGCTGGTAAAAGACTCATCTCCATAGGATTGAGGTAAAAAAATAAACAAATACTCTTCTTAATGGAATCTGAAATTCGTAACATCACTCAAACTAGGCTCAACTACAATGTACTTGCCCTGAAAAACATAGGAAAAATGTCATCTGGCTATATATATATACGCACTTGCTCTTAAGAGATCAGAGAAAGTTACAATAACTATAAAATATTTTTTGGAACCCACTAAAAAGGTAAACAGAAACCCATAAAAAGGAAACAGAAAATAAGATGAAATTCAGGGTTAAAAATAAGAATATCAAAGCTAAAAAAACGAACTGGATAATCAGACCTTCCTTTAAGAAAATCTTAGTTGGACAACCAGGTTACATAAACAAAACAGAAGAAATGAACACAGACCAAGCTATGCACTTTGAGAACATACCTGTCAATAGCTTGAAGATCATTTGCTGGGTTCCACGTTGGATCAAAGAGTATAACAACATTGGCACCAACAAAATTAAGACCCAATCCACCAGCCCTAGTAACATAAAAATGATACAAAAATAAAGAAAAAAACAGTGTTTTTTTAGTGTATTACATACATACAAGCATACTCTTCTCTGACATAATAGAACAGCACAAAAATAGTGGGGTACAGCTTTGTGTTAATGGAGAGATGATAACAAACAAGCACTATTGTGAAATGCCAACTTCTCACCCAAGTAGCAAGATGACTGTGAACTACATGACTTAACAAGTCACAACCAACTGCCATTACCACCACTACAGTTGAGAATACTGAAATTCATAACCATTTTAATGCCAGTTAACATTATAGATGCATGACATAGAAGTATAGTTTAAATTAAGAGGGACTTAAGAGTCTGCATGACATTTTATTTCCTTTAATCCCAGCACACAGTTTTGAAAATAGCACCATATATCTTTCTCTACATTATGACCATTTTAATGAGTTGCATGTAGAAAAATAGACTTGTGACAGTTTATTTGTACGGTATTAACTGTTGAAAACACAGTTGTTCCCACAGTTATATGAGCAGTTCTTGTACAAGTAATCAATTTAAGAAAATTTACTACTGTGGGGTGAGAGTTGCAAAGGTACTAGTTACATCATACTCAAATATTCAACCCCTGCGGCATACTTACAGGTAAAGCCAGCAAGACAGCAAAGAATTTGAGCATATGCTTAAACTGAGGTAAGCACTTTATGCTCTTCATGAATCTAACAAAACTTCTCAATTACTTGATTTGTATGCACATAGCTGTACCATTTGATAGAAACCACAGTGAAGAAAATCCCATTTTCCAGTTGCAAAACAAGCAAATACTGTCAATTCTTTTATACTGGCTCAACTGGTATTAAAAAAAAATCCACATCCCTACAAAAAGACAAAAGCTCTTCTACAACTACACCCTAAATAATAGTATTTAACTTCTACACCAACTCCTTACACTGTCATAAGTGGCACTGATTTCCTAAGTGCTATTTTCTCCATTACATATGGCAAAACTGAGAAAGCCAACTCAATTTAATTTAGCAAGCAACTGTTTTTAATAGACTACTTTATATTCTGCTTATTTAAAGCAGTGGGAGAGGTAAAGTTTACAAGGAAGTGAATGAACAGAGACAGAATCCAAGACAGAACAGAGTCCCACCATCTCCTGGCTTTCATGGAATATATTTTTTTAATGCAAATACAGTTGTGGCTTATCCCTTCCACGTGTGCTTTAGTGTAGTGTTAACAAAATCTGAAAGGAGAATATAGAAACCTGACAATATTAATGGAGGTTTCTGGAAAACTAGTATTCTTGGTTTTAAACACTGAATAAAAATTGTTGTGTTTTTTCCAAATAACTTACTGTGTTTCGGAATTTTGGTGTATTTCTTTTTTAGTGCAGAATTTAGACTCCCACCTACCAACCCAACTCTGCAGCCAGACTGAAGAATAAGTCAACACAGTTTTCTGAACACTTTCACACACACACACACACACACACACACACACAAAACAAACAAACAAAAAAAACCCCCACAGTATTTGGAGCTAGAATTCTAATTAAATTTCAGTGAAAAGCCCTAGTGCAAGTAGAACAGACTCACTACAAAAATAACTAAATAGGATATTTAGTTTTATACGGACTTTATCTTTCAACACTTCTATGTATGCCACATAAATTCAATGCTTTGGAGCAATCTAGTGAGTCTTCTAATGCACAGATGCAGTAATTCCTCACTATCTTCAGGGACAAAGTGGAATTCACCAAGGTCTTAGGTAAGCTGATGGCCATAATCTGCAACTGAGTGAGGTTATAAGCAAAGTTGCATGACCAGCACCACAAATCACCTCAGAACGCTAACTACATGCTTCAGAGGGTATCCAAAGACAGTTCTAACACGTCCTTACACCGTTTTTTAGGACCATGTCTGACTTTTATTTGTATGGGGTTAATGTGGACCTTTCTACGTAACTCCCAACACACACACTTTCATCAAATGACAGAAATAGCAGTACAGATAAACACATGACTGCATGTTTCAGGGAGCTCCACTCACATTCTCCCTGGGCAGGAAGATACAAGTTTATCTTGGTTCTTTATACCTTTGCCTGGTACTTGACTTCATATAAGATGAAATATGGAGGTAACAATAACAAATCAATAAACAATAAAATCAAGTATCTGTGATCACGGTTCCATTAATTTCAGTAGAACATATTGCTCTGTGTCGAAGAGGAATTCTTATCTATCATAATTTTACAAGTAAATTCGATGGGTAAAAACATTTCTATCAAAAAATCTGTTGTGTGAAGTATTTTTGACAGACATATATTAATGAGCCAGATTAATAACTTTCAGCAACACTATGACGTAATTTTTAAATTCAATATAGTATTTTATATGGTTTTTGGTCTATGTTGTGGTTTTGAAGAGTTAATCTTTTGATAACTCCCTCCTCCTGGGAGAAGAGGGGAACGAAGAGCAAAAAAATCTGTCTGAGATAGGAGAAACTAATTTATTAAAATGAGATAATACAGAATAATTAAGAATAATAAATCAAGCAAACCAAAAATAAATGGGAAGGGAGAGATAGTCAGTCCAAGTCTTTTTCAGCAGGCCCTCATGGCTGGCCTCCCAGAAAAGAAGAGAGAGCTCCTCCCCATCACCTGGAATTGGAAATCATCTGGTACATCTCTGCTTCACACTTCTACTCAGAACAATAACGACACTGCATCAATGTTTTAGTTGTTGCTGGGTAGCGCTGGCACTGCCTCAAGATAATCTCAGCAACCCTCCCACCCCACAAAAGCCAGAAGGCTGGGGATGAGCAAAAGGGGAAAAGAAAGCATTGCCAAGACAGCTGATCTAAACTCACCGAAGGGAGATACCCTTGCTAATGACATGCTTAGCATGACACAAAAAGAGGGAAAGGGAAAGGAGAAAAGGGCGAGTTCTTGTTATGAAAGCATCTTCCCTTCTGAGCAACTGCTATGGGATTCACAATCTAATTCCCAAGATGCAACCATGCAACACTTGCTGATAGAAAGTAGAGAATAATTGTTTTCTCCATTTGCTTCCACACAGCATTTGCTTTTTTTTTTTTTTCTCCTCCCTTCTTCTTCTTTAATTAAACTATCCTCACCTCAAACAGTTGTTTGGTTTCTTTTTGTTGGCTTTTTTTTTTTTCATGTAATTAAACTACCTTTATCTCAACTTGTGATTTTTTTATTTATTTTTTTTTTGCCTGTGTTATCTTCTCCCTATTCTTGTGAAGGGGGAGGAGTGAGAAAGTGCCGTAGTGGAGTTTAGCTAGCTTTCAGTTTGAAGCCACCACACATTTATACTCGCTCATTCTACAAGTACGGTACAATAAAGTGAGACTGTCTACAGTAAAGTAAGTCTTTGGTGGAACATGATTTGAGTGTTTTCTAACTCCCTCAGCAATGGAAATTTGGAACTGTGATTTGGACAATATGCTTGTTTCAGATCTTAACCAGCAGAGGAGACAGGAAGGGTAGAAGTCTCTAGAAATTTGAAATGCCTCAGTTCACAGTAGTGGGTTCATGTTTGCCTGCAGATAAGAAAACAATTCACCCTCTCAAAAAAGTAATCCCCCACTGGATCATGAAGTAAAATGAAGAGCATCCAAACTTCTACGTAACAAAAAGGCAGAGGGAAATACAAAGAATCCATGTTAAGTTTTCTTACATTGTAGATACAAGACATATGTTAATTTCTTGAACTCTGTTGAATTCTCTTACAATTCTGATCCTATCTTCTGATTTTGTATTTCCATCAAGTCTTCGGAAATCTAGCCCAGACGCCATACAGTATTTCTCCAGCACATCCAGCAACTGGGTGGAAAAAAAGAAATCAAGTACTTATTGGTTTCTTTTCAATTAAATGTAATAATTTGGGGCACGTTTCTTAAATGTATTTTCTAATAAATAAAGAACTACAAGTAAGAGCAAATCTTCTCCATCTCAGAATCAACATCCTTGACTCTCTATTGTTGTGATTTCATAGCACTATAAGGTGATTAACACGGGTCTGCCACGGTCTCATTCTCTAGCCCTGACTGCTCACCCTACCTCTAAGTGATGCTGAATCAGTTAACCTAAATAAGTTGGTAGCAACTTAGAACGGTTTCCTACCATATTAACAAGTTAAACTGACTTAAGTATAGTAAACAAGCAGCAGAGCCAACACACAGAAACCGACTGGTATGCAAAGCAAGAGCTCATAAGGATGGAGTAAAAGAAACAAGTAACCAGCAGTCAGACTAGTCTTGAACACTGAACTACAGTTTAAATCATCTAAATACTGCAATCTTCCTTCAAGCCACAAAATGATTCAGAATTATCATTCACAGTATTCTAATAATTTTTTAAACAATACTATCATTTAGCTAAAGAAATCTATGTTACAGGCTGTTTCACTTCAGGAAACACACTATTCCAGAAAAAGAAAATCTCAGAGCGTCTTAGTCCAGCTCCTATTAAACAGCATTAAAGCTTGAACAAACTGATTTAGCAGTTTAGTCTCAAGGCTGAGATTTAAGGAAATGTTATGCTTTGCAGTGCTAATGTAACAGTTGTATACTTCTGTCATAATCTGCAGTGACACTGCTCTAAATGAAAACGCATCAAGTGAATTTGGTATGAGCCATATATATCTAAGTACTAAAACAACTATAAAAAGCTCTACAGAGGGAAGCAGAGCATTACATCTGTTCTACTACTACTATTTTCATCATGAGATAACATAATGTTTCAGCATGCTTCTGGAGTAATGCACACTTTTCCTCCCACCATCATTTCCTATACCACAGAAGGGAAACATGACTGACAGCTGTTTATGTCCTTAGTGCTTTATACTTCAGAACTTACTGCTGTGGTCAACTGAGAAAAGCCGTAAGGAGCTCACCTTCGTGGAAAAGGAGAAGAGAAGAACTTTATCTTTTTTCTTCCAGAAGTGATTCAGAAGTTGCTGAAGGACCTGTAAATGAACCACACAACGCAAACGAAGACATTTCATCTACAGGTCATTTCATGCACAGTCACTCATTTCTACAACATTTAAACAAGGCACATTAGCTAACTATTTGCAAAGCCAAACAGAGGTATAACATAATGATTCTTTTAAATTAACAAATATTTAAGGTAACAGAGTTGATCCATGTATTCATTTTCCAGTAGTCTCCACTGAAATCCCACTGCAACGAAGTAGTCCCTAACAAATAAACTCACAAACTGTTTCTATCAGTGGACAGACTGCAACAAAATGCTGTTTATGTCAAGGTACACCAGAATTAGAGAACCACAGAATAGTAGAGGCTGGAAGGAACACTTACCAGGCTGCCCAAACCCACATCCAGCCTGGCCGTGAATGCCTCCAGGGATGGGGCAACCACAACATCTACACTGTTCCAGCACGACACCACCCCTCTGTGTGAAAAACTTCCTCCTAATATCCAAACCTCCTAAACCTCCCCTGTAATAGTTTAAAACCATTTCCCCTTGTCCTTTCATTATCCACCCTCATAAACAGTTGTACTCCCTCCTGTTTATGTGTTCCCTTCAAGTACCAGAAGCCACAGTGAGGTCTCCCTGGAACCTTCTCTTCTCCAAGCTAAACAAGCCCAGTTCCTTCAACCTTTCTTCACAGGAGAGGTGCTCCAACTCTCTGATCATCTCAGTGGCCTTCCTCTGGACCCATTCCAAGAGCTCTGTCTTTCTTGTGCTGGGGACCCCGGGCCTGGACACAGTACTCCAGATGAGGCCTCACAAGAGCTGAGTAAACTGCTCCATGGTCAAAGAACCCAAAGTTTCTGTGGTGGCACCAGCCTTTCAGCCACTTAATCAAGCCTGTGTTTTCCCAGCCCACTCTGTATCCCTCACCACTCCCAAACGGGAGATATAAAAATACCACTCGCACTCCCACTCCTCCTCAAACCCCTAAACCCCTGAAACCACTTGATAGTTCACAGGCTTCCCTGAGTGACTTCATCAGTGCCTGCCTGAATGGGTAGTTATGAGACCCAGCTGTTTTTTGGTGATATTGCTGACCCAGGCCCCAGGGAGGCAGCACGCCTTCCTACAGGTTGGGTCAGGACTGCAAATGTAGCCCTCTGCTCCCCTGAGAAGGCAATCATCTACCACAGTTACCCTCCTGTCTTTCCTGGCAGAAGCAGTCTCAAGGTATGGGGATGATCACCTTGCTCTAGGTCCCCTCTTAGACAGATTCTCCCTCACCTCCCCTTCAATTTCCAGCTCCCCAAACTTATTTCTTAGGGGAACTTGGGGAAGCCGGGTAGGCAGGCTGGGAGTGCATCCATGGCGCTCAGAAGGGACATTTCTTCCAACCCTCATAATCTGTCAGGTCAACCTGAGTGTAACTAGGCAGGGGGTCCACCACTTTCAGGGAGTACCTCCCTTGCATCCTTCGCTTCAGCACACCAGTGAGTCACTTTACCAGTCGGTCTCCTGCTCACACTCCCAGATGATTAGCCTCTCTCCACCTCCTCCCTGATGTTCACCACCAGGCTAAGCAGCTCTTCCACCTGCTCACAGCTCATACAGGTGGAATTCCTGCCACCCTCCCCTGGCAGCAGCAGGTTCAGACACTCCCTGCAGCCAGAGGCCTGAACAGCCATATTTCTGGGCAGGCTCTCTGTCTGGGTCACCACTGCTTTCTTGGGGCAAGCCCGCTGTCAAGTGGAGACCATGTTTGTACCTATGGTCTCAGAGACTGCCAACAGGAGAATGGTCTCCTGAGCAAAGAGGGACAGCACTTCAGGTGCAGTTCAGGTTATGAGCATTTGTATTTTACAAATGAGCACAGCTCCCCTGAAAACAGGATGGTCCAAGTTTTCTGTACTACATCTGAGGTCAGAACTTCATGGAAGTTGTCTTAAAATAATTGGTGAGACATAAACCCCTCCCCTCTTCCATTCTCATTCTACGCCTGTGGAAACACTATACATGCTGTTTTTATAAAGAACTATTTCAAGTGTTTCGTCATTTAGAAACCCTTTGCACTTAGAAAAAATACAGAGCCACTCCTACCCACAATTTCAGCAAAACTACAGAAATAACTTTAATAACTTTAACTGCGTGTTCGATGGGATGATTTACCGCAACGGGGAGACGTTCCAGCCCAGCTGCAAGTACCAGTGCACCTGCTGGGACGGGCAGATCGGGTGCCTGCCCCGCTGCAACCTGGGCCTGCTGCTCCCCGGCCCCAAGTGCCCCTTCCCGCGGAAGATCGAAGTCCCCGGAGAGTGTTGCGAGAAGTGGGTCTGCGACCCCAGGGATGAAGTGCTCCTGGGAGGCTTTGCTATGGCTGGTGAGGAGCTAAAACTATCACAGCTGTTAGGAGGAGAGGATGATGTGATGGAAATGTCCCGGAGCTTGCAAAGTCTAAGATGCAGCTGCTTTGTGCTGTTTGGGCTGGGCTCGGGTGAACCTAAGGGCTGGGCTCGGGTGAACCTAATGAGGTTCAACACGGCAAAGTGCAAGGTTTTGCATTTGGGCCGGAAGAACCCCAGGCACCCGTACAGGCTGGGAGGAGTGGTCCTTGAGAGCAGCCCTGCAGAGAAGGACCTGGGGGTCCTGATGGACGAGAGACTGAACATGAGCCAGCAGTACGCTCTGGCAGCTCGAAAGGCAAATGGGATCCTGGGCTCCATCAGGAGAGGGGTGGTCAGCAGGGACAGGGAGGTGATTGTCCCTCTCTACTCGGCTCTTGTGAGGCCCCATCTGGAGTACTGTGTCCAGGTTTGGAGCCCTCAGTACAAGAAAGACATAGAGATTTTGAAGGGTCCAGAGGAGGGCGACTAAGATGATCGGGGGCTGGAGCACCTCCCCTATGAGGACAGGCTGAGGGAGTTGGGCTTGTTCAGCCTGGAGAAGAGAAGGCTGCGGGGTGACCTCATTGCAGCCTATCAATACCTGAAGGGAACCTACACCCACGAGGGGAGTAAACTCTTCGAAAAGGCTGACAACAGCAGGACTAGGGGAAATGGATCCAAGTTGAAGGAGGGAAGATTTAGGTTGGATGTTAGGGGGAAGTTCTTTACAAGGAGAGTGGTTAGGCCCTGGAACGGGCTGCCCAGGGAGGTTGTGGATGCCCCGTCCTTGGATGTGTTTAAGGCCAGGTTGGACGGGGTCCTGGGCAACCTGATCTGAATGTGTATGTTTGGTGGCCCTGCTAAGCAGGGGGGTTGGAACTACATGATCCTTGAGGTCCCTTCCAACCCGGGTGATTCTGTGAAATAATCAGATACAATAGTCATGAGAATTACTGCAGGCTTTAAAAATGGCTGTAAAAGGCTGTATCAAAAGGGTGGCCAGCAGGGCAAGAAAGGTGATCATTCAACTCTGCTCTACTCTTGTGAGGCTCCATCTGGTGTACTGTGTTCAGGTTTGGAGCTACCAGAAAAAGAAAAATGTGAAACTTTTGGAGTGGGTCCAGGGGAAGACCAGAAAGATGATCAAAGGACTGGAGCACTGTTCTTATGAAGAAAAGCTGAGATTACTGTTATGCCAGGAAATGGTGGGGAGAAACCTCTGAACTGTCCTGTAGTAATCTTTTGGGAACTGCTCAGATGAGGTAAGGTTACCAACGCCCCATCTGAAACCTTCTCATGACCCCCTGGGAACTAGTAGGGGAAAACTTCAGATTTCTTCTGGAGGTTTGAGGGAGGGCCCCTCTAGAAAAGTGGTGTGTCAAAAAGCCTAGCTGAATTGCCTTTACATAAATGCATGCACCATGTGAAACAGGAGCTGGAATGAGTGATGTACTTGGAAAATTATGATCTAGTTGCTAACACAAATGTGGCAGGACTACTCCCGTAACTGGAATACTACTGCAGAGGGGTATCGCATTTTCAGAAGGATTGGCTAGGCAGGAAGGGGGGCAGAGTTGCCCTGAACATTACATTAAAGACTGGATGGACTGTGAGGAGCTCCTTCTGAGAAATGGTGAGAAGCAGGTTGAAAGCCTGTGGCTTAGAATTAGGGATAGGACTAATAAAGCACATCTGTTGGTAGAGGTTTACCACAGGCGACCAAATCAAGAGGAGCCTGCTGACAGCACCTTCTTCCTTCAGTTGCAGGAGGCATCATGTTTACAGACACCTGTCTTGATTTAAATCACTCAGTTATCTGCTGGGAAAACCAAACAGCAAGCTGCAAGAGGTTTAGGGATCTCCTGGGGTCTATGGACAATAACTTTCTGGTTTGAGTACCAGACAGAAGAGGTGAAGTGCTGCTGAACCTAGTGCTCACCAATGCAGAAAAGAACATTAATGGCATTAACATTTGAGACAGCCTAGGCTGCAACAACCATGCCCTGGTTGAGTTTGTGATCTCGAGGAATGTGGGGCTGGCAAAGAGTGGGATCAGGATTCTGAACTTTGGGAGAGCGTGGAAGAAAGCTGGCTACTCCTCATCCATCAGAATAAGAAAGTGGGCATGGGAGGCAGGAAACTGGCATAGCTTGGCAATGACTTGATGGTCAAACTGAGGGAAAAGTACAGATTGTACCAGCTGTGAAAACAAGAGCATGTCACCTGGGGACAATACAGGGCCATTGTCTGGACTTGCAAAGAGGGAATTAGGAAAGCCAAGGCACAGATGGAACCAAACTTGATGAGGAATGTTAAAAACAAGAAGGGATTGTGTAGGTACATTGGCCAGAAAAGGCAGGCCGAAAAGAGCACACCTCCTTTGGTAACTGAAAAAGGAGAACCGGCTACAACAGATATGGAGAAGGCTGAGGTACTAAATGATTTTTTTCGCCTTGCTCTTCGCTGGTAGCCAGGATTCTTGTATTTCTCATATCCCTGACATTTGCATCCCTTAGTTTCTAGGTGGGAACTGGGGGAGCAAATCCTACCCTCGCTGCAAGGGGGCAGAGCAATTCTAAGACTGCCTCAAGTGACCACATACATACAAGTCTATGGGGCTGGATGACATGTATTCCAGGGCTGTAAAGGAGTTGGCTGATATGGCTGCTGAGCTGCTCTCCATCATATTTGAAAAGTCATGGCTGTTGGGTGAAGTCCCTGGGGAACAGAAAAAATGAAACATCACTCTCGTGTACAAGAAAGGGAGGACGGAGGACCTGCGGAACTACAGGCCAGTGAGCCTCACCTCTGTGTCTGGGAAGTCATGGAACAGATCATCCTAGAAGATACATTAAGACATCTAAGGGATGAGCAGCAGATCTGAGGAAGCCAGGATGGCTTTAGCAAGGGAACCTCATGCTTGACCAGTCTTGTGGCCTATGATGGAACGACGACACTGGTGGACAGAGGGAAGGTGACCAATGTCATCTATCTGGACTTGTGCAAGGCCTTTGACATGGTCCTCCACCACATCCTTATCTCTAAATTGGAGAGATATAGACTTGAGGGGTAGACTATTTGGTGAATAAGGAATTGGTTGGAAGGCCACAGACAGAGGGTTGTGGTGAATGGCACCATGTCTAGGTGAGGGCTGGTGACAAGCAGTTTCCCCCCAGGGATCTGTCTTGGGACTGGTGTTCTTCAACATCTTTATCAGTGACATTGATGATGGGCTTGAGCGCACCCTCAGCAAGTCTGCTAATGACACTAAGCCGAGCGGTGCAGCTGACATGCTAGAAGAGAGCCACGCAGAGGGACCTGGGTCAAAAAGTGGGCCTGCATCAACCTAATGACATTCAACATAGTAAAGTGTGTGATTTTGCACTTGGGTTGGAGTAATCCCAGACAAGTGTACAGACTGGGAGAACTCCTTGAGAGGAGCCCTGTGGAAGAAGGATGTGAGGGCCCCAGTGAACGAAAAGGTAGATATGAGCCAGCAGCATGCATCTGCAGTCAACAGTATCCTGAGTTGCATCAGAAGAGGGGTGACCAGTAGTGACAGGGAAGTGGTTGCCCCCTCTCTATTCTGTCTCTGAAAGGCCACATCTGGAGAATGGTATCCAGGCCTGGGGCTCCCAGGACATGAAGTCAGTGGAGTTGTTGGAGTGGGTCCAGAGGAGGACCACAAAGATGATCGAAGGACTGGAGCACCTTTCTATAACAGCAGGCTGTGGGAACAGGGCTTGTTCAATCTGGAGAAGGCTCAGGGTTGACCTCCTTGCAGTCTTCCATCATTGAAAAGGAGATTATAAAAAGGAAGGGAATCAACTTTTTACTTGGGTAGATAGTGATAGGACAAAAGGGAATTTCTCTTTTCTAGTCTTTGCAAGTTGGCATTCTGATTAAGAACAGCTTATCTCTGAAGTGCTACTTACCACTGTAAACAGAATTATTAAAACAAAACACCTAGTAGGCATGCATTTTCTTACATCCATATAATACAGCACATTTTACTATTAGTAATATTTATTTCTGTCTCTGAAGAATATATTTACCTTCATTTTTCCACTGTACTTTGGATCTGAAATTATTTCAAAGGCTGCGTCTTTGCTTAACTTCATAAAATCTGGAAAACTGGAAAACACCTCATTGCAAACTCGTTTGATATGTGTTTCCTGAAAGAAAGTTTTCAAAAGGCATTAAAAATCAGAATTACACTGGGTAATAGTAAAACTGAAACTGAAAGTTAGAAACTGAAATAGTAAAACATAAAACTGAAAGAAGTAATCTGCTGGAATAACTCAAATTTCATACATTTCATAGCCCAGCAGTTGTGTATCAGCATCTCTCTTGACCCCGTAGCATAACTGCATTTCTGGGAATCTTTTTTCTACAGTTCAATTGATATGACAAAAAACAATACGAGAAATGGATTTAAACTACTCAAAAGTCAAATAAAACTTTACTGCTAGAACTGCTAGAACTACGATGCAACCACACACTTTAAGTCTCCTTTTCCGGAAGAGCAGAAAATACCTCATCTGTTACCCAGGAATCACTCTGAAATATTTTTTACAGTAAAAACTACACATACAATACAGGAAAAAAAAAAAAAAACAAAAAAAAAAAACAGTGAAAACACTTGGGTATTTACAGTTTATGACCCTGGAGTCCTAGCAGTAAAGCTTCCTAAAAAGCAAAGTTCTTGTAATGGTTATTTGCCAGGAAAACAAGATAAATCAATACCGTTCTCCCTGTTCTACCAAAACATTTCCCATATTATTTAGAGAAACTCTGCTTTGAATATAGAATTCCAGAGGAAAAAAAAACAAACAAAACATGTTCTCATTGTTTATTATTTATTTGCACAAAAACTTACCTCTCACTTCTCAGAAATGCACTAAAAATGGGATTATTAAAAAAATCACTAAAAATGACTTTCTCCTAAAGCTCTCCATTGTCACGGCAAACCCCATTTTCAGATATTCATCAACTGGAACTAGAGATGCATTATATTTATATCTATTTAACAAGGGCTACATTCTCACTTACTGAACAAAAAAAGAATTTTCCAAATTATCTGAATTTCAGTAAGTTAAGGCTGAAAGAGAAGCCAACAGCAATTTTTATTCAAGAGCTTTAATCTAATTTTCCAAAGGTTCACTTTTTAAGTACTTCCAAAACTAACCTGCTGCTTGCTAGTGTTGTCTGTCTGCAGCAACGCAACATGATTTGCAACTTTCTGTAGGATTTTCAAGTAACTGAACTGCAATGACTTAATTGTTTCACCGTGGGAATTCATCTATAAAACAAAACAAAAAACAAGCAAAACCAACAAGTATTGCTAATACTTTCAAAAACAAACTTTCCTAAAAATAAGAAATACACTAAAATACTATTTCAAGAAGATTTAGTGCATTAGGAATTCAAATAGTACAAAAATTGATTTCAAATGATTTATTTCTAGCCAAACTGAGGCACGTTCTTCTTCTCAACATTATGACTCCATTAATAGGAAGCGAAGCAGCTTTTTAAACAACAAAAACAAACAAACAAACAAAAAAACAAACCACATTCTTGATAAACATTTCAGACAGTATGACATATACAGAAATTGTTACGATAATCAAGAGAATTCTTTGTTAAGAAAAGCAACTTTACAATTTAAATAAATGGAAAGCGAACTAGTGCTGTTTGAATGATTTCTTAACCTACAACTGCTTATTTACTTCAAAAATTTGTGGAGTCTCATAAACACCTCATTTAACATAAAGAACTTTAAACACTGAATAGTTGAATAGCAGCAACAGCTATTTTTCTGGTTGTAGTTGATTGATTTATCAATACTGGTTTCCTTTCCCTTCTCAAGTTAAATTTCATGTTTAACTTTGGAGTAAGACTGTCCATAAGAGCAACACAGGTATCCACTGGTCTGCATAGAGTGAACAAAACTCAACAGCACCTTCTTTCTACAAAACAATGATAACTAGAGCTTGCAAAGAGCTAATGCTAGTTTTCATAGCATATTTCAACAGGACGATAGATTGTTTTCAAATAAAGATGCATAAGACTAAATACACTACATTACTTCAGAAACAAGAAAGAAAAAAAAAACAGTATGCAACAACCTAAACAGTTTAGAAGTAAAAGAAAGAAAATATTTAAAAGGCATTCTGAGTCTACTAAGAGATATGGAGAAACAAAAACAAAGCTAAATCTATTAGCGTTAAAGGAGTCCAAAGAAGGAAGAAATCTGCAGAGCTGTTCCTAACGAATAACGTTCTACTTGCATTATAAAATAGTTGCTTTTACAGCTCTCCTTTCAAAGTAAATCAAAGCATGTTTTTAGGAGTGAAGACACAATCCAACTGTAATTACAAAACAACTATATCTCAGACAATCTGCTGGGTACAGGTCGTCTCTTATTTGCAGCTACTGTACTGACCATCTATGGTGCACAGTAACCGCATACCTGACAAGTATAAAATGTCCCAATGTAATACCCTTTCCAACACCAGGTGTATTTAATACAACACATTCCAAATACACTGTATTAATAATGACTTTTTGTTTAGGGCATGCCAAGCAGTTATGCTGTAGTCCTGAAGTGCCTGACTTCAGCATGACACAATGCTTTTAGTCAAGATTTCACAAACAGATGACTTAAGACCAGGCAGTCACTTCAAGCAGCTCCTCATGGGCAAGAGCATATTGAGAAATACCTACCCTCTGCTCAAACCAAAAAGTCTACATTATAAACTTCAGACAATTAAGTTCTTACTTTGTAACAACAATTCTTCCTTATACGGCCGCTGTTGCAGCTGCAGGGCTCTCCTGCTCTTAATACTAGGTTTACATCCTCTGTCTTCAGCACAGCCTGGTATACTGCTTTCTGGAATTCTGTCAGGGAACAGTACACCATCTGTAAAAATAAAAGTCCAAAAAAAATGCAGTTACATGCAGCATAAAATTAGAAACACAGAGCACTGCACCAAAACAAAACAAAATCAACAAAGCATGGAGCACTGCACATAAGGTAGAAAATAATAATATATTTGCACAAACATTGATAGAAAGTTATACTAATCATATTAAAAACAAAAACAAAACCACCTGTACGCTGACAAAAGTATTTGGAAATTATATACAAAATGAATGTAAACTTATTTTATCCCTTCCCAAAATTTTAGAAAGAGAATCAATATCAAGTTATAATAACCTGCTTTTAGGTTTCTACAAACCTCTCAGTTGGGTTTTCGTGGAAGACTAAGAGAACGAAGGAAGAGTGACAGACATAAATGCATAATTATAACACAGGATTCCCTCATTTTGCCAGTTGCTTAATTTGCCCTTTTTCTCTTCTTAGGCTCCAGCTATTTGCAGGGCAGTACCACAGGCAGGACAAACAGAAGAAGCACTGAGAATGCAGTGCTCTATACACAGCAATGGCTAAAACACTTATCCCTCCTCTAAGAGACCATGGGTGGCATCTCCATGACATCTTTAGTCTTAACCAGCAGGAGACAGATATCTGAATATCATTCCCTGACATAGGCCACCCACATTGCTACAGCACCATGCTGAGCTATAATAATATAGCAGTAACTTGAACATATACTCAGACTAACAAGAGAATGGAAATAAAACCTGCTAGATTTACAAAGACAACTGACTAATGTTTGTGTTAATATTACCTTTACAAGACAGCTTGGATGACATTATAATAATCTTAGGATGAAGAACACAGAATTTTGAATACAAACATCTGAAAATTAATGTGTTCATCTACTTAGAAGGAAACATGTCTAATAAGAGAAATCAATATTAGCCATAAAGAATTATTGATTTATGTGATGTTTACAATAGCACCAGATGAAAAAGATTACAGACTAAGATAATTATCTTTAACCTGGCGAGTTTCCCTCTACTTACTGATTGAAAATGAGAGTTAAAAAAAAGATTAAAAGCAAACTGTTCTATGTACAAAGTATCAAGCTGCAAATTCAAAAATCCTACATCAAATTTCAAGAGATTTACATACACTGAATTTGCATAGATACATGTGGCAAAGGGCACATGAAATGTGTAAATCACTAGCCAAAAGTTTAGCTGAGCATTTTCATGCTTAGATAACTATTTCAGTAAGCAATCATAGTAACTAAACCAACAGAGCACACAATCTTACGTGCATTCTTTTTAAGGCTCTAGTTTCTTCTTAATTTTGTAAGTCCAAGAAAAAATCATAAACTAGCAGAGGTATGATGAAAGAGAAAAAACAACAAAATCAACAAAAAAAGATATAATATATTCAAAATACAAAGGCGCTCTTACTCTGTCTTCTTTTTTTGGCAACTGATCACTGATAAGCACTTTTGTACGTCTCAGAAACCAGCCAGACATTTTTCTTGCCAGCTTCACCATCGCCTTACGACCCGTTGCTAGCTCTCTTTTAGTTGCAGTGTGCCTCTGGCCACGCTCCACTGGATCAGAAAATTTCCTCTTGAAATGCATTCTACTACCCAAAAGTCCTGGTAGGGCCCTATAAAAAGGAAACAAAATCAGCAAACAAACAAAAAAACACCAAAAAACCACAATAAAAATAAAAATAAAAATAAAAATAAAAATAAAAATAAAAACCACAATAAAAATAAAAATAAAAATAAAAACCA